AGAAATATTTCCTGACAGTAAGAGGTGATTTTTAAAATAATATTAAAGGTGACATTGCTGTTTTAACATGGGGATATTATGAAAATTATTATTTTGAAGAGCCTTTTAATGTATAATAAGCAACACCTCCTAGATAGCTTGGTTACAAGGGGTTACTCTAATTATCCTTTTGAAAGCCCACAATTCTGTTATATAAAATTAAATTTCTCCCTGCCAAAGAGCACTTCAAATTCTACAGAGATTTTGTAAGGTGGGCCCCGGGTGTGTAATGAGATTTACAAGTCTGAACCTTGCAGGGGTCTTTTAAAAGAGATTTGTGCTGCCCAGAACACACAGGCCTACATGAGGAACAAAAGTTTTGTTTTGTTTGCTTGTTTTTATTTTTTTATTAACTATTAAACATGGTGATGCCAATACAGCTGTGGAAACACAGGCTGTGTCCTATTTTGCTGTATGCATCATCAAGAAAATTGCCAGCTCAATTCTGATTCCAAAATCATTATTGTGATGATGTAGGTAACAAAAGACACAGCTTGATTTGCAAATGCCACACAGGGCCAGTGGTGTGGCCAATTGGAAAAAAAAAAAAAAAACAACCATCATTTGGGGCCCTTTTATTGTTACCAAAGGAGAATATTCATTAACTGCATATGGAACATCTTGATGTGGTTCCATACTATTTGCAAAGACTCTTATTTTAAAAGGGGTTCTTATTATATTAACATTTAAATAATTAGTACAAAACATTTAAGGGGTTCTCTTAGTACAATCTCCTACACAAGCAGAAAGCCTTTTTTTTCCTAATATGTATTACTGTTTGTGAATTTTTCCAACATTCCAGGAACCAGTTACTTCTCAACTAAGTTCTCCAATAATTAAAAAATAAACTTTTACAAGTTTTTCCCTATATTGGGAAAAAAATCTGCATCCTTGGAACTTGTTCTCATTGGTCCCAGTGAAGTCCCAAAATTTACAAATGCGAAGATATGCAAAATGGGGAGCATTTTAACTCAGGTAAAATGCAAACTAAATGTGCATAGTTAAACTTTTTAGATTCAATGGAAACATAAGGCTGAAATGATGAAGAACAGTAGGCTAATCATAATGTACGTAAAGAACTAGAAAAGGAAAGCTGCCATGTTAGCTAAAGAATGTTCAGTCTTGACATCTTTCTGCTTGGAAGGGTTGAGGTTGGTGTGCAATTGCAAGTTCTCACAGCTGGTGGACCCTAACTCCACTCCATTGTGGTTAATATACATAAATGATTTCATAGCTGGTAGGAAAAGACCTGACCAGTAGTATTGCTTATCTGGGTTCTCTTCAAAATAGACCTTGATCCCAAAATTCAAGTACAACCATTTATTTGGGAGTATTCGGAGGAAGCTTCCATGAGGGAATAAGGATTCGACTTAGGAAGCAAAGTCTGCTCCTGGAGTGTTAATTTCCTGGCACTTCCCACTGGTAATTTCTACCATAGGTCAAAGTGACCTTCCATAGTTCTGGAAAAGTTCACACATACAGAGGCGAAGATTCCAGCAGAAGGAAGTTGTGCACATGCATGTGTACATACACACTAAAATCTGAAGGATATGTTTGGGTCCACTGATAACTCATTAAAGTAACTATTCATTAAATAACTCACTGACCTGGAAAAAAACTGATCATGTATCTAGTGAAGCAGACCTGTTCACTGGCATTTTCTGATATAGTCATCCAAGATAAAAACTCACCTTGGGCTGGGGATGTACTCAGGGGTAGAATGCCTGCTTACTTAATCATACTTAAATAAAAGAGGATAGTAAGACACCATGCCCTGGAAAGCACCTTTCCATTCCCCTAAACCTAGCCAAGTTAAGGGAACAATGAGAGCAAGTTTAGGCTACATACTCTCTATCAGATACATACTATCTTGAAGGACAATGGCTTTCTCTCATGTATGCTGGAAATTAAGTCAATGTTATCTGTAAAAATCTACTATCTTACATGTTTGCCAGGACAGCTGTTCTTTGGGATGTTGGTCATATAAGGAGCAAAATAAGTTAGTGCTGGTGACACCATTGTTTTTGCAGCTTAACTTATAAAACCCCTCCCCCTGTGGTAACTGGTGTGGATCAGAGAACCAGGGAGAAGTAAATGTTGTCCAGATTATGCCTCTAGTGCACTTCATGCAGCAAAGATGCACCTGTCCAGCCTGTCACCACTGGACTTTCTGGTAAAGCAACTGTCCAGCATGTTGCCACTAGAACTTCCCCCTGAGCATTTCTCAATCAACTCTGTCTCATATTCCATGTCTCCTGGCAACCTATTCTACTGCTTTAGCACAAGCTGAGCAGTAGATGGTACCAATGTATGAGGCAGAGGGTTCTATCCCAAGCAACAAAAAATAAAAACATAAAAAGTCACCTTACCAAGACTGTCACCCTGAACAGAAGCAGAGAGAGACTGGATCTGAGTTCTGGGTCAGCCTATAAAGAGCTTTAAAACCTTGGATGAGCTTGGACCAGAGGTGAAATGAACAGAACTTCACCTGTCCTAGCTCTTCTGCAGCAAGTTTTGAGGATAAAATGAGAAAATATACATATGAAAAACCTTTGAAATGGAAAAAGTACTAAACAAGATACAAGATACAAGGCACAACAATGTGTGTTCATTTGAAACAAGAATTTTGGTTCATATTTTAGGGAAATTATGTTTCCTTTAACTTGGGACTTTCATCAGAAAAAAAAATGTCACAGTAGATCACAGTACATTTAGAATTTTCTCTGGAGCCTCATTCTTTGTTGTTGTTGATATGAAGATGGCAGCAAAATGTGTTGATGACTCTTTTCTTAGATATAATGAGCTGTTGATGATTTGTAAATCCATCCCTGAGTTATTTGGAGTCTACAATAGTAGTTCCCTGGTGAAAATTTCATGAAGAATCATCTTTGTATCTGTGAACATAAAGCTGATTTTCAAAAATAAACAAGGTCCAGAAGATAACAAGAAAAGTTTTCCTATTTCTTTCACTTACCAAGCTGTCCTAGAGCATCTGATTTTAAGCAAAAATCCTGAGGGAAGTAAAGAGAAGTAAGACTTGGGGGCTTTTGTTAGACAAAGACATATGTATGATTTTAAGTCAAGGATTCTGTTTAAATTTGAGTCCTCCCTCATTAAGTTTCTAAGACAGGAATTTTCCATTGATTCTATGTAGGGAATAGCAGTAGCATCAGAGCCACTTGGGAGGAACTTGATGGGAGAGATTATATCTTTTCAGCTTGTCTGTAATAACAGCAGCCTGGAGAAGACAACTTAAAAATTTGTAGGACTTACTGTGGACTTGGCACGGAGCTAAGCATATCACAAAACTTCTAATATTTAACCCCCCCAATACTTATTTGGGTTAGATACTATTTTTATCTCCATTTTATATAGAGAACATTGAGCCATAACAAGGCTCCTATTTGGTTTCGCATTGGATAGTGGCAAATTAGAGTTTAGGACTGTCTCATTGAGAAAAGCTCCTTCAGACCACTCCTATGATGTCTCTTGGCTGAGAAGCCTGGGCAAGCTGGCCTTCACTATAAAACAGTAATGACCTCAAATCTTTTTTTATGAAGGCTGTTGTCATCAGTACAACAAGCAAGCACTTCTCCACCCATGGCCTCACAAGTTCTCTGTGATGAGTGTGTAGAGCATGCACACTCATGCACTTGGTTTTCCCATCCAGGGGATATGACCAGCCAAATCATCACCTTCTTATGTCTAGATTTCCAAGTCTTATGCCACCAACCAAAGTATTCCTTTTCCTGTATTTGAGCAATCTTGGTATATTCTTTCACACAGGAGAAAGCAGAGCAATTCAAAACACCCTGATTCTGTCCTGGAGAGATTCAAATAGGTGAAAGGCCAATCACAAAGAGTTAACTCTGCTAACAATGAGGATCAACATTTACTGAGCACTGAATTTATTTGAGAAGCACTTTACATGGCTTATCTGGGTGAAACTTCAAGGCTTCCCTGCGTGGGAAACATTACTATTATCTCTACTTTGCAAATGAAGAAACCCAGGTTTAGAGAAGTGAATTAACATACCCAAAGTCACTTGCCTGCCTGCATGTGTCTGCCATAAGAACACACTTCAGTGCAAAGATACCCGTGAGCCCTTGTTAAATTAAAACACAGATGTTTGAGATTACCTCAAAACTTGGTGAAAATCTTGACACAGACAATATTTCAAAGTTGATTTTATTATTTCATGTAACTAGAAACAAGTTAAGCAAGTTAAAAATGACTACTTGCAGTAGACCTATTCTAGGTAAGATTTTGTCAAAGACATGAACACAGAAGCATTAATTGCTGGGATTAATATTTTTAAAATCTTTTGAGTTCCTTTTATTTATTTTTAGTTTTAGTTTTTGGTAATGCTGAGAATAAAACCCAAGGCTTTGAACATGCCAGGAAAGTACGCTACCACTGAACAATATACCCAGTTTCTTGAGTTTTTAATTTGAAAAAATATTTTTTTCTATTTTAGCTAAGCACGTGTGCCAATGTGCACATGTGTGTAAAATCCTGAAATGCCAGCAATTATTTTACCAAAATTTATTTTTAACAGTGAACATTCTGAATTTGGGAGCTCTTAGCTGTAAGGCCAACATATCTAAATATACCAATGCACTTTTGACCTTCTCTGCCCATAGATATTTGTATAAGGATGTGATTAACCACAGAAACTACTCCTAAAGGGGAGTGGAGAAGGAAAAGCAAAGTGCCCTCTATAGTTTTATCACTTAGCAAAGAACACAGATAGGGGGTCTGGGGTTGTAGCTCAGTGGTAGAGCACTTACCTAGGATGTGTGAGGCACTGGATTCAATCCTTAGCATCACATAAAAACAAATAAATAAAATAAAGATATTGTATCCATCTACAACTAAAAAATAATTAAAAGAAAAAGAACACAAATATGTCCAAGGCATGGATTTTATTTCTTGAGATGCCCCTGAGATAGCCACGATACCTTGATCTTCTTGAACATCTATTTCTTGTGGTGTTTCCAGGATGTCATCAGGATGAGGGACACAGAGTCCGTGGAAAGGCCCCAAGTCGAAGCACTGGTGCAGCAGGGGCAAGTTCACTCTCGAGCACACACTCATGAACCCGACAGCTACACCTTCCACCTGGAACATCCAAAACACCTGGTTACTCCATCAGACCTCAAGTGATTATCACCATGAAACTTCCATGAGCCCTGGGCACGTGGTCTGATGATGACTTCACAGGCACTTTGAGTTGCTTAAGAAAGAAAGGAGTATCTTCCTTAAGTAGCTCTGGTGTCCAGCACAATGTAAAGTACATATAACATGTTCAAAGAAATGTCCAACAAGAGACCACTACAGACAATCCTAGAGGTGGACAAGTAACTTAGGGAAGTTGCCAGAGAGTTCTGGAGAGGGAACTATTGGAACTTACTTTCTTAGTCAATCTCCCTGCCTGCCCCATATCCTCTGCCATCTGGTGTCTTTATCATTTTATCCTCCTACAAATCCTATGTCTCCTATGCACTTTCCTCCCTTCATGGTAAGATGAATCATTGTTCCAGTGCCCAAATGATTGGTCCTCAATTCAGAGAACACTCATGATTATTAGCTCCTTATCATGTAGGAACTCTTCAATTTCTCTTGAATTTGTTTATTTGTTGATTGGATGGTCTGACGGGAGGAAAGTTGAGGAAAGGTTTGGTGGGAAATAGTTGTGTGAACCTGAGTAAGGCCAGGCGGGTTCACTAGATGGCTCTGATCTCCAAATATATCACTGCTCAGCATCCTAACAGACATAGGGTTTTGATCTTCTTGCAGTGGTCCTATGACTCTGGATCCTTGACGAGAGATGCATAGGTAGGAAATTGAGTAACTAACTGATCTTGACCCATTATTGGTACCAAAAAATTACGAATTAACAAACTATTTTAATTCTATCATATTCCATATTGAGAAATGATTGTGACTGGAATTCCTTATTATGGGCTGGGGTTGTGGCTCAGCAGTAGAGCGCTCGCTTAGCATGCGCAAGGCCCTGGGTTCGATCCTCAGCACCACATAAAAATAAATAAAATAAAGGTATTATGTCCAACTACAACTAAAATTAAATATTTTTTAAAAGAAGAAGTTCCTTATTATGTCCCTTTACTAATTCTGTATTTCATTCCTCTCTGTATTTAAAATTTAAGGAGAGAGAGAATGTATAGTCCTTTAAATTTCACACAAATAATTCCTATGGATTAGTAAGTGGGTTTTAAGCAAATTCCCAGTTGAACGCTTAGACTCTGACTGCTCTTATTAGAAACCTGAACTTACTAGATCCTATCCCTCAAGTATTCAGACTTAATTTTTGGAGATATTCCATTCAGAAAGTGGAGCTCAATAACCACAGCATTCCCTATTCCCAGAAATGCTGTGTTTATTCATAAGTGCCCAGCCAGAGAAAATGGTCAATGCTTTAACATCCTAAAACAGAGAATCAATTAATCATAACGTTTAATCTTTTAGATGACACAGAAAAAAAATTAACCTATTTGTTTCCCAATCTATCTTTAATTAAAAAACATATGTATTCAAGGGTTTTTTAAAAAATAAATGTGAGATGCTCTTTGTTTTCTCCTCAATCATGAAATTCCAGAAGAATTTTTTTAAAAATCAATTTTTCCATGTATATTCTTTTCTTTACAGGATCCCCCAAATGCTACTTGCTGTAAAAGACTGGATTTACACAGCTGTTTTACAAAGCCATTGACACTTTAATAAAAGTCCAAAATAAACATTTTAATTTTTTTCCCAAATAACAAGTGATTGTTTGTCTTGTTTGCACTCGTGAACAAAGGCTGCGTAGCTGCAGTTGTCTGGCTTCTCTGTAATTTTAGGCCCAAGACTCAGCAGACGCTGATTAACCAATCCATCTACCATATGTGCAGAAAGAGGCGGCCAGCCTCACTCCCGGCAGGGAAAATTGGCATCCATCTTGGTTCACATGGAGATGTCCTTCTAATCTACAGCCGCATTGGCGCAACGGAACTTCGATGGCCTGAAATACCTTTTGCTGGCTTCACGGCGAGCTGCATGTGCATGATAAGAATGTATTATTTATAAGACCGCTGTTAGTAATGAGCTATTACACTAATGGCTCATTGTGTTTGGAATTTGATTTCAAATGGCATGGATCACACATTCTGATGAAAATGAGAAAAACATGTTTTGCCATTAGGAACAAAGATTTAGCGTTTCTCCAATTCTACAACCTGTTATATTCGCATCATTCATCCAGGGTTGTAACAATTTACAAAAAGTTCACAATTAAGAGACAGCAACAGAGCAAGGACATTTCCTGGAAGTTTCTGTTCCTTACTCTGGATCTCTTTCAGATAACTCATTTGAAAAATACTATTCTTAAACATGAATTTGTGGGAGGATCCAAATGCATCTTTGTGTGTATTTGTGCTTTCCAGAAAAAAATAAATGGATTTATGAACTTTCTTACCACAAAAGTCTCTTCAATTACCTTATATTGGAGAACAAAATTGCAAGTTTTGTTGTTGTTCCTGTTTGTCCTGGGAGGATCTACGTGATACATGCGAAAGGTTTAGTATCCACCGGCCTTGTCTTCACAAACACATAGACACACATATACTTTGTCGTTTATACTTCATCCAAAAACGCCTGGTGGTCACCCATCCCTTTTGGGTGACAATATTCCACAATGAGGGTTTTGTCCTCATTGTGACCACTGCTGGCTTTGATCCCCTTCTCCTGATGCCAAGTGCATGGCTAACCTGGCAGGCTCTCTCCCGCCCGCAGGTCAGTGGTGCTTACTCGGACCACTGCTGCCCATGCCCTGGATGATGCCAAAGCAGACGCTCTGCCCATCTGTCTCTAGGAGCCGCCCTTGGCCTCCAACTGCCCTTCCTTGAAATCTCAGCTTGGAGTAAACACCAGATGTCAAGGTAAGCCAGGACAGAGTTGTGACAAGGAACTTGCAGTGAAGTCCTGACCCAAAACTCTTCCGAAGTAGCTACTGAGCCACAAAAAAGTCCTTGTAGCTAAAAACCCTTTAACTAGTCATTGGTTTTCCATTTAGCTCAGGCATAGCTCTTAGGCATTCAATATGCATGACTTGAAACTGCCATGGGCCAGTTTGGAAAGAGACAGACTTGATATACTTTGTTGTTATCTCTGGTCAATGGTGGTTGCCTAAAAACATGGTGTGCTGATGAATGCCTTATCAGCATTCAGGGGGAAAAAGAACAGATTTGTAGCACTTGCCAATTTTTGTGGTATGAATACTCTCCTCATGGCCAATTTTAGCTACTAGCATGATATAAGTGAACACAGAACTGAGAAGAAGCATGTCATTAAATATATATCCACTATACAAAGACCACAGACAAAAAATCTCAAGAGCGTAGACAGCAATAAAATAATTAGAATTGATGAATTGAAACTACTTAATGCTTTCTTTTAATATAATTTATTATGCTAGAAATTTAAATAAGTTTTTAATAATGTCTGTGTTTAACAAGCAGCTTGCAAATTTCCCAAAGATTTAAAAATCAGCTCTCTGGAGCCAGAGCAAGCTGGATGCAGAACATCACCACTCAAGGGTCTCTGAGGACTAGGGTCCCAGGAAGCCAGTGGGAGGGTTAGACCAGCACTCATCTTGAACACAAAAAGTCTTCAAGACACTGGATACGGCTCTGTTCAGACTGGAGATCACTTCCCAGGACCAGGTTCACAGGGCCTGCCTCTGCGTTTCTGTTTTATGATCAAGGTCCTTGGTCTCATCTCCTCTGATGCCCAAGGCAGCATGGCCCCTCGGAAGAGATCAGGCTGGGCTCCCTTGGCCTCTATAGAGACAACAAAAGATCTTCACAGGGTAGAGACCACCGCAGTTTTCAGTATGTGGCTTTGCTCTGATGTTTACACACACTGAAAGTGTGATGTATAACAAGAGAGAAAGAGCAAAGGGGAAGAGGTACATAAAGCTTCTGCAAAAAGCACTAACTCAAGTGATTGGGGGTAAAATTAGCAACTTAAAAATTTTCCAAAAATAAAAATCTGATTAAACTGGGTGGGTAGATTAAAAATCCCTACTAGGGTTTGCAGGAATCATTTCAAGTCTCTCTCTTTTCCCCCTAATTGTATATAAACATGATTTTCCAAAGTGGTACTGCTGGGCCCAAATTTTTTTTGACCTTTCCTTTTCTCAGTAGCCTGGAGCCAAAAGCTGAATAGGAATATATGAAAAAAAAATGCTTTAAAGGTTAAGGCAAAAATCCAAGTATGAAAGAATTTTTAAAAATTAAAAATTAAATTAAAATTAAAATCCTTTTGATGTAGGACCTCAGAAACTAATTCGGAGGGCCAGTTTTCACCTTCAGGAAGTTATGCTCATATCTATCTAAACATCTAATTCCCAGCTACATGGGAGATTGAGGCAGGAGGAGCATTGGAGCCCATGAGTTGGAGGCCAGCCTGGGCAGGCAAAATAGCAAAACCTTGTCTCAAAAGGAAGTCGAAGGTTGGGGTGGGGGTAAAGGTGGGGGGTGTGGAACCGAAAGAAAGAAACTTACTTAAAAAATTCTGACTGTGTCCCACACCAAAAGATTGATTTAATTGAAGTGGATAATCCTTTGGAAAGTATACAACTCAGTAATTTTTAGTATATTCATAACTGTTTGTAACCACTATTCAAGTCTAGAATATTTTCATCCACAATACCCACCATAAAAACAACAACAACAAAAACCAGTACTCATTATTGGTCACTTTCCATTCCCCTCTACCTTTAGCCACTAATTGCTTTTTGTTTCTATGGCCTGTCTATTCTGGGCTTTCATATAAATGCAATCATACAATATATGGTCCTTATGTCTATTTTTTCCCTTAGCATAATGATTTCAAGGTTCAAATACGTTGTAGCGAGTGTCAGTACTGCTTTCCATCTCCTAATAACATTCCATTGAATGGATGTACCACATTTGGTTTAGCCATTCATCAGTAGATGGACAGTTGGATTGCTTTTCCTTTTTGGATATTATAAATAATGCTGCTATGGACATTTGTGGATGAGTCTTTGGGTGAAAATGTGTTTTCAATTCTAGATGCAGGATCGTTGAGTGGAATGGGTAAGTATATATTTAACTTTGGAAGAAAATGACAGATTGTTTTCCAAAACGGCTGTGACATTTTATAATCCCACCAGCAATAGGACAAAGGTTCCCACTTCTCTACATCCTTTCCAACACTTGTTATTATCCTTTTTTAAAAAAAATTATAACTATCCTAGTAAAGATAAAGTAAGTAGTAGCTCACTGGGGTTTTAATTTACATTTTCCTATTGACACAGTAAGATGTTGAATGACATCTTTTCATATGCTTATTGCTAGTTTGTCTTTTTTATTTCTTTAGGAGAAATGTCTATTTGAGTCATTTGGCATATCTTGTTCATTGTTTTATTTTATTTGTCTCTTTTGGTGTAAGAATTCTTCATGTATTCTGGATCCAAAGTTTTTTAACATGGGGAAATCTAGAAACCTTCCAGGTGATTCTCCTGTGTGCCAAGTTTGAGAACCCCTGATGCAGGAGGAAGCCACAGACTGCTCATGTCATACATATTAGAGAACTTCTGATTTCAAGTTTCAAGAAAAGTAATATTCTTTTTTGGGCATCATGGTGCAGGCCTGTGATACCACTGACTTGGGAGGCTTGAGACAGGTGGATCACAAGTTTGAGGCCAGTCTCAGCAATTTAGGGAGGCCCGAAGCAGGCTAGTAAGACCCTATCTCAAACAAACAAACAAACAAACAAAAGGGCCGGGGATGTAGTTTAGTGGTTAAGTACTCCTGGGTTCAATTCCCAATACTAAAAAAAAAAAAAAAAAAAAAAAAAAGAAAAATGATAGTATTTAAATAGTTCTTAACAGTCTTAGTAAATGAAATGAGTGTATGGAGAATGATGAATCTCTTTTAAATATCATCCTAGAAATAAAACTGCTATACTCTCATCTTTTAACTGGTACAAAGTCTCTCTTTTTGAAATGAAAGCCAAACATCCATTTGAAAACAAAAACATAATATGTGGTCATCTATCTGAACCTTGGGATTTTATGAATGAACAGAACGTGTGAGCAAACAAAGGGCTCTATTCCTGTTTGTTAATTATTGTGTGCAAAAGACAAGCACAAAAATTCATTCAAAGTAAGATTATCTTATTGAAAAAAAAAGTTTCAGTCCAACTTATATAAAACTTTTTTAAAAATATTTATTTTTTTAGTTGTAGTTTGACACAATACCTTTATGTTATTTATTTATTTTTATGTGGTGCTGAGGATTGAACTCAAGCGCTCCACCACTGAGCCACAACCCCAGCCCCCAACTTATATAAAACTTTTTGAAAGGGCTTTCCAAAGAATGACCTCTATATTTCCCATAGATGCAAGGAGAACATCTTAGCTCACCTGTGAATTGCTTTCTTTTTTTCCCAGTTGACCCTAAAATTATCAACAAAAGGTTGACCTTGTGAGGTCCCGCACACAAGTCAATGGCAAACCATTCACAGGAGACTTCATTCCTTCTAACAGAGTTCTCATATGTGGTCCCTGGAGTGTCAGCATCAGTCTGGAACTTGTGAGAAATACAGCTTCTCAAACCTTCCTTTGCCAGAGCTAATGAGTCAGAAATGCTGTTGTGGAGCCCAGTCATCTTTGGGCTCATTAGCCCAAGAAAGAATTTCTAGGCAGACTCAACTTTGAGTACCACTGCTCTCATATACTTCATGTGACCCATGGCATGAGAAGAAGATCCACTCAAGGCCCTACTCTTCCCAACACTGAATAGCCAACATGCACTCCCTGATGACCAAGATGCCAAAAGTCCCAAGTTTTTTCAGACAATTTCTCCCTGCCATTGAGCACCCCGCAATTTTCCCTGTTTCAGCATTTTCAACTCTTGAGAGTTCTAAAGCCTCAAATGGAATAGCTTGGGGTAGCTGTAATTCCATAAGGAAAGCATCCCCCCACTTGGTAGATGCTTCCAGGGGTGGGTCAAGGATAAGAGAAAATCTTGGGGCCTCTGGTCATACTAAGACTGGCTAGCTTGTGAGTTTTCTTCTCTGTCTTTTCAGAAAATGTGGTCCTTTGTGTCTGCAGCTGCCAAACTGAAGGGTCCAAACACTAGGTCTTATTTTTTCAGAAAAGCTAGAAATTCCATTTTTGACACACATGCACACATATATACATATATGTGTGTAAGTTCCTAATTTTTGTGTGAGCCACTAATTCAACAAAATTTAATCATATCTAACCTGGATCAAATCATAAGGAAACACTGAACAAATCCAAATGAAAGACATTCTACAAAATAACTGACCTGTATTCTTCAAAACTGTCATTGTCATGAAAAATAATGACAGACCAGGGAGTTATTCAGATTAAAAGAGATTGGAGAGACTCAGCACCTGAATGCAATGAATGACCTGGACTTACTTTTTCATAAAGGACATTGTTGGAACTGTCAATAAAATCTGAATAAGGTCTGCAGATTAGATAAAAGGATTGTAGGAATCATAATTGCTTGACTTTCATCACTGTACTGTGGTTATGAGTTATGTAAGAGAAAGTTCTTGTATTTTAGGGAATACACACTAAAGTTTTTAGAAGTAGAGAGGCATCATGTCTGCAACTTACTCTCAAATGGTTCTGAAAAAGTAGATGGACAGACTAGAGAAAGCAAACAAGAGAATGACAAAGCAAATGGGGGAAATGTTAATGTCTAGGGAACCTAGGTACATGTAAATTCTCTTGCGAAATTATATAAAAAACAAAAAGTTAAAAACTAATCACGTCCTAAGTTTAATAAATTCTACCTGTCAGCAGAATGCTGGTTTGTGACCTCTGATCTCTGACATCTTGGGGCTCTCAGAAATCCCTTCTAAATACCCTTGGAGGATCTTTCTTTTCGTACTCTTCCCTCTAGAGTTAGAACAAAGAATCTACATCTATGGGTATCTGGAATACCCTGTGGAGAGGGTGATAGCCCAGCTCAGAAGCGGTCCTGGCAAACCACCTAGAAGGTCATGGGGACGGGGAGGGCACGTCAGCTCTCAGGGTCCTCTTCAAGTCCAGGAGCAACATAACTCATGCCTCTTGTTTCTCTCACTGAGCATTTCCCAGAATGACGAGTCACTAACCTCACACACAACGGCATGATTCTCTTCATCTTGGGCCTCTATCAGTTCAGCAAGGAAGTATTCACCGTAAGTTTCCTTCAGAACAGTGTCATAGTGCATAAATATTGGCATGAGATCGTCATGGTCTTCCACCCTGTTTAAAAGGGAAAGGCTTCAGTTCAGTGTTTGTTTTTTTTTTTCTTCATCTTTTCCATCAATGGAGCATCTAATGTGTGCCAGCCCATGTTCTAAGAACCAAGGATACAGAAATGGTCTCATGAAATTAACCAACATTCTCATGAGAGAAACAGACAAACTTGAAGCATTTTGATAATTTCAAACATCTCAAATCATGCTATGTGCCTTGGAATGAAGAGTGACAGAGTCGAATGGTCAGGGAAGATCTGTGAGGAGGGACATGTGAGCTGAGTCCTGAATGAAGAGAGGGGGAAGAAGCTATGTCAAGACCTGGAGTGGGGTGGGTCATTAAGGCAGAGAAAGCACAGTGAGTGTGTTGGAGTGTGTACAGTAGAACAGTATTTGTCATGAGCCAAATGACAGCAGGAGACAGCATTTCCAAAGTGTGTTCAAGGATCACTACTTTATGATACTGTCCCAGAATCCCATTCTCCTCCCCTATAAAGAATTACAATGCCTAAAACCAATAACCTACTACAGGGCCCTTCCTGGAGTGTCACCCTTATACATTATACCTTATAATTCTCCAACATTGGCCCATGGTTCCTTTTATTCATACACTTCTTGGTGAGGGGGCAATGGTGAAGGTGATAAATCTCCTGCACATCATCCTGGGGACCCCCACCTTGAATTCCATGGTCAGTGACAACTAGTGGTGGTCATGGGAATAAGAACCAGGCTCATTGCTGGCTTTTAGACTCCATTTTGTTGTTTTACTTAACATTCCTTTCTACTTTTTATTACATTCTTGTTGGTATTACATTTTGCTTGTCTAGGATATGCTTATACTTTTCCCTGTAAAAATGTTTCAGATGTGTATTATTTTTTTTTCCTTGTATATCTGATTGGGCTACTGACCTTTTTTTCTCACCCCCTTATTTCATTATTTTGCCATTTCATTGTCCCATTTTATCTTCTAGTATGTTCTCTTTGATGCTAACCATAGCTCCAGCTACTGAGTGATCAATATATACATAAAGGGGTTTATCCAGATTATCTCTGTTGCTATTCTTCTCATAGCAACCCCAGGAGGTAGGCAATGTCATCTTCACATTTCAGATGTAGGCGAGCAATGCTCAGGAGAATGATGAAATGTTTTGCCCCAGATGACAGAAATAGTTGGCAGCAGAACCATGACATGAGCTCAGGTTTACTGACTTAAGTCCTGCCTTCACACACAATATACTAAACTGACAATGCACTTCAAAACTCTTCCTTTATTTTGACACTCCTTTGGAAAATTGGCAGCAGGAAGCAAAACAGTTGAGAGGGGAGTGGTTGGCTCAGGGGCCACAGGTCATCATCCAGACAATCCTGTCACAACTCCTCCAGCCCCTGCTGGAACAAATCCCCTACTCTTCCACAACTCTACTCCCCAAATATAAATACTTTAAACTAAATCATCTGAGTGAAAATCTTCACCTGGCTCCCAATATGAAATCTTTATGTCTGATGACACTGGCTCAGCTATTGAAATGATGTTGATTTTTATCAAAAGCAGTATCTTTAAGGAATAAATACATATTTTAAAACCGGGTCTCTGGTTTTAAACTCTCACAGTTCACAGTGGAGCAAGCAAACAGACCACTATACAAAAAAAAAAAAAAAAACATGCACACAAGATGACTACAAGGAGGACCATCAGCATGACTTCCAAGTCCCCATAAAGAATTCAATGCTCAGGACGTAGCTCAGTGAAAGAGCACTTACCTAGCATGTGCAAGGTCCTGGGTTCAATCCTCAGTGTTGGGGGAAAAAAACAAACAGTGTCTTAAAACAATAACTTCCTACAGGTCACCTCTTGGAATGTCATAGTTACCTATGGAAAGACTCTGAGAAGCACTATGAAAAAGAGCATTTAACCTTGTTTATCTGTTTCTCAAACATTGGCCCATGGTACCATTTGTTACTGCATCTCCTATGAAGGGGAAAATGATGGTGAAGGTAATGAAGCTCTGCTCACTCTCCTGGGGACACCCACCTTGCTGCTATTCATCTTGTTAATCTCTTGTTAACTCTCTGGAAAGAGATACAGCAGAGGATCCCTATCCAGGCAGAGTCTTTTTTTTTTTTTAAATCAACCTAGCTGTGATGTCATCACCACCAACAGTCTCATTCCATCATGCCAGGTCATCAGTGGATTTTTAGGTGTGAGGCCCAGACAGGGAGCCAGAAACAAGCACCAACTATGCATTTAAAGTATGAGTACCTCAGCTGCTGTCCCTGACCATGTGCCCATATATTTATGTGGGTATGTGCTTACTCTGTAAATTACCAGGGTCATCTGTAGCTGGGTATATCAAGGCCCTGTTATAAATTCAGCAAAGGCTTGTTGGTTGCTCTTTTAAAAAGATTAGAGAAAAAATACAATGTACTGATCACAGCTTGAGTTGGAGAGCCAGACTGACTTGGGTCTGGATCCTGCCTTTCCACATTGTGACTCTGGGCACAGTACCTAACCTCTCTTTGCCACAGATACTTCTCATCTTTTATAAAAGAAGTAACTACAAAGAACACATATGAGCATTATTTGTACTACCTCAATTATTACTTGGATAGAAACAACCAATAAGAACAAATACAGAACCTTCACAGTCAGTGGGTGGGGCAAGAAAGTCTCTTATTACAGAAGGCTGAGTCACTGTGCTAGCTTCCTACTGGCAGGTATGAACAGTGGCATTCCATCCTCTATTGCTAATCTTAAAACTCTGCTTTCTTCACCTCACCTTCTTACTTAGAAATATTTGCAAGCTCCCCACTGTTTCTGAGAGGGGCACAAAGTCCTTTGCCTCCATCTTCCCACCCTTATGGCCAACAATGACATGACCTACTTATTGTCCCCAGAAGGGGACCTTACCACCTTCCCTTTTTCTTGCCTCTATTTCAGTGCTCTGACTCCCTTGACTGCCCCAAATTCCAGCACTCTTCAAGGCTCAACTCCATACCTCCCTCCAGTGACTATTCTTCCTATGCTCCCATCCCAAGAACCCAATGCTGGGATCATCACTGGATATACATTGTCTGGTTCTGGTGTTAATTTCTTATGGCCAAGGCGTGGCACCTTCCCAACCAGGGAATGTGCTTTCTAGACTGCTCTGTAGCAGTCCTGTGGTATATAGTATAGCAGCAACAGTCAACAAGAACAAGACCCTTACCTTGGCCAAGACCTTGCTGAGGGTCCCATGTACACTAATTTCACCAAGGAGGTATGATCATGAAGCTTCAGGGGATACATATGCAAATTCTGAACCCACAGTCCCATACTGGTAGTTCAACTTGCCCATGTATTTATGACCACTTGCCCTTTTGCTTTTTCAATTGAGGAACCAGAAAAGTTACTTCAACACTAAGCCTTAGTTGTCTCATCTATGAAATGGTCGGGGGCACAGATAGCTGCAAGGATGCAATGCAGTGACACAAATGACAGGCTTGAGCCTGCTCTCTGCTCACAGTCAGCCCTTAGCAGGCATTTGTCCTCTGTATGAGCCCTAGAAACTCAGCTGGGAAAACCTAGAACACCATGCTCCCTTCCAGGAACAACTCACTTCTCACTTAACCTGCCAAAAAGCTATTCCTAACAGGAGATGGCTTATCTCTGTAAAAAGAGTCCTTAATGATATAGTGCAAAATAAGATTCTGGAAGAGAATAGCCAAGTCTATTCTCAAACACTGCCAAAATTAAAAGGTTGCATCAATGCTTAATTATTTTGCATAATGGGAAAACAATTCAAAATCTTATTCATAAGGATGATGTGATGCCAAAATTAAGTGTACCACTGGATTTTATTTATATGATGGACACACACATATTACTCTACAAATATAAAAATCAGTTCAGAGACTCAGGGCTCTAAACCTAGTCATGCGCCTTCCACAGCCCATTAACACAGCTATATCCTAATCAGACCTCAATACTAAATCTTCTGGGAAAAATAAGAAGAAAACATCCAAATCTTGGAGTTCTGAAGTCTCTCCCTTAAGCCCTTGCCCAAAATGGTTAGAAAGGAACTTGGTCTGTTAAATGCATTCCTTGGGGTAATCGATAATTTATGATCTTGCATCAGCCCAAGTGCTAATGATAAAGTATGACATCAGCCTCAAAGTCTCAAATGGCATATGACAAAGTCCAGCCCTACAGAAACAAAACACCCCAGCTATGGAAAATCATTCATGCAATAAAATGTGTAAATGTGAGTGATTTCAGGCGATAAGCACTGCCTGTCGGAGTCAAACACGAGGAGAATCAGGTCTCACCGTGAATTTGGCACCACAATGCTATACAGGTACCCACCATTTAAGTGCCACAAAACATTCCAATAATGAGAACTGCCTAAAATACAATAAAAATAATGCAATTATTTGAGTAAAAAGCAATGCTCCCTTCTGTCTTCCATTCAGAATGGCTTCGAAGGAGTAGTGATGCAGTTGTAAAAAAAAATCAATTTAGAATATTTTAGAATAATAAATTTAGAATATTTTATTTTAACTTGTTTGGAAGAGACTGAAGGTCCTTCTCATAAAGGCATATTGCTCTCTCAGGCACCCAAATATCCATGAGACTCTGAATATCATGCATATGAAAATGGAGTTGAATCCAAACCCTAAAATCAATAGGCTCTTAAGGACACTTGGGGAATGGGTGTTTTCTAAATCCAGGATACAGCAATACTAAAGATAATTTGATTGGTGCCTCTCACTGACTTCCTGTAAGGCTAGGAGAAGGAAGGACAAACTCATCATTTCATCTAAGTCAGTTATCCAGGATGTACAAGGGCATCATGATGTCGCAGACACCATGGAACTCTTCCCAATAGCCTGGCAGGGTCTCTTGGTGACAAATGGATTCTAAGATTGCTTCATCACCACAGCATCCTGACTGCTCTACAACATAATTGCCATCTTAGAGGAAAAATACACAGGCCAGGTTCTCTTGAGTCAGAGAGGTATACACTGCTTTCTTGCCAGCAAAGAAACCACTACAAATTCACAGATGGAAAGTTCACATTTCAGAACAGTAAGGACAGCAGCAACAGGCCACCTTCACATTCTGAATATTGGCACAGCCTCCACTTTCCTGTCTGACATCATTTTACATATCCAGAGAGGATTTGCACTTAATTACCTAGGCTTAAAAATGTACTGTTATAAGAGTAATTCTGTTGCCATTTTAATTTCCAGAAATACATTTCAAGTGTGTGTGTATTTTAAGAAATCAATGAAAATTTCATAGAGAATCCAGTTCAGAGATAATGATAAAAAAAAAAAGAATGCAGTATGTTCTTGTTAAACCATTCTTTTACGTGAACACTGTCTCAACATGGGGTAAGAGAACTTACAGGCTATGTCAACTAGATTTTATTTTTTATTCAGATGTATAAAACAAAGCACCTGTTTCTTTCCAAGATCTCTTATGACCTCTAGTGGTCTTCCTTAAGAAAATCAAATCTATCATTTTTCAACTACATTTTTCATTTTAGAACTACAAAATGGTTTTAGAGTCATTTAGCTTCTGGGCTTAGAAAATGTCATCGTTTTAAAAGCTATGGAGGATTTTAAAACCACATCTTCCATGTGCTTTGAATGACTTCAAAACACGTGCAAAGCCAATTAGAGGCCCATACCATCTATACTACCAGAATCTGATCCAAAAGTTGATCTTGGCACCCCACTGCTGCAGTTGGATTGCTCATCAAACTATTTGCTGGGTCAGTTCCCAGGATGTAAGAAGATCATTGCTGAAATTCTGCAATTTATTTATCTCTTATTTTTGAACATATTAGGATATTTGTAATTTAAACAATGAAACGTACATTCCTGTGAAACTGCTCAGAAGTCAAATTTAAGTGGATTTCTAAAAAGCATGAGACTGTTAAATATTTCAAAAATAATTACCTTAAGAAATTAAAAATTATTATTTATTAAAAATATTATTATTTATAATAATTTTTATTTATAAAAATTATTATTTATTTTTTAAATAACTAATTTTTCTTTCATTTATTATTTTCTAAAATTTATTTTTCCCTAAGCAACTTAGTGAGACCCTGTCTCAAAAATAAAAAACAAAAAAAGAGGCCTGGGGATGTGGCTCAGTGGTTAAAATAAAATAAAATAAAATTTATTTCTAAAGGTCTTTTATTTGTAATTGATACATAATAATTGTATATATTTATAGGATACAGTGTGATAATTAGATACATGTATAAAATGTATAATGATCAAATCAGGGTAATTAGTATTTCTATATCCTTAAATACTTATTACTTCTTTGTGCTGGGGGCCTCTCCTCAAAAAGAATAAGTTTTTCCTTTCATCTATTTTTATTTATTTTGTTAAAGCAATATTGTTGAGCCAATATGGTTAAGCATTGTTATCAGCAAAAAGCACTGATTGTATAAAAGAAATTCTAGTTATTTTAAAACACTGACATAATCCTTTCCTTGGCTGGATCTCTCCCCACCCTGCACAAGAGGACTTGAAAAAGGTTTCCCCCAGAAAGACCATGCCGATGGTTTATAAACCTTCAAACACCTCAGATCCACTACTGATGATTAATTAAGCCTGCTGTAGGTTTGTAAAGGTGTGTCCAGAAGCAGCTAGGCTTTATTTCAGATATAATGAAAAACACAGAAGAGTAACTTCATTAATTAGAGCCTAAGTAGAGGGACAGATTACAGCATAATTTTCCACATGGGTAAATCAAAGAAACGGGATGGGATTATGGCGTTAATTCATTGGTTCTGAATATGTTGCTAGTTAAAAGACTGAAGGATAATTACATCCCAAACCGTTCACTGGTTTAGTATCTTAAGAATTGTGTTCTTTACCACTAATTAACAGTGCAAGTAACTATTGATGAAACAGATGTCAAAAATAAACATGTGGGAAATAAAAGAAATGACCTAAGAGGCACACGGCTACACCCATCTCATGTTCAGAAATGTCTTTTGTTTTTTCACTGCTGGAGTGAGATTGTCTACATAAAAGTAGTTTTCAGATAGATGACATTCTATACTCACAAATATAGAACTCTATTTTAAACATTTTGAATAAAGAGCTTTTAAAATGTATCACACCTTTCCGTTTTCTGCAGGCAAAGGAACCGACATAATGTCACAATTTCCACTTGAATTCACTACAATGCACTTATCTTTTTATAAAGTTCACTACCTTGTTACAGAGTACCCCATCACCTCTTTGCATTAAGACTATATCCCATTTGCGATTTGTTTCTTTCAGATTTTCTGTGGCCTAGGCAAGCAAAACATTTACTATCAGAAGTTGTCTGAGCAAGACCTCAGGCTGAAGCATACAGGTTAATTTTCAGGCTTCATGGGCTCTGTCCATTATAAGGTCAGAGTCCATCCCACTAAGTTTTCAAGAGAAAGAAAGGCAGAAAAGAAGGGATGTGGAAAGAATCAAGGGAGAGAAGGAGATAAACCAAAGCAGAACCATTGGTTAACAAATGCTTCCTATAGGAGCCAGGCACTGGGCTGAGTATACCTGTGCCTTTTCTCCTGTCACTTATATCCTGAATGGCAAGTGGGCAATCAGTGAACAAACTAACAAAGATGTCAAAGAAAAAGATTATTTTTAGATGAGCTGCTTCTGTACTTGTCACTTTCAGTTGTAAATTTATATAAAAGTTTTCTATTATAAAACTTACATGTATGTGTATTAATATATATATGTATATGTATGTGTATATACATGTTCTTTCTCTGTATATATGTGTTTGTATCTGCCTATCTATAGATACAGTATTATAACCATATGTTCAATTGTATTTCCTTTATATATACTTGCTGCATGTCTATATTGAAATTATTTAAGCCTTAGTGTTTCTCAAGAAAATAATTAGCCAAATCCTAATGCATAAATAATAAGATTCTTTCAGAAATGTGACGCCCACACCTATAACTAATTCATTATCCCCAACCTCCCCTAAAGAATTGTCTATATTGCAGACACATTTAAATCATCTTTCAGGATAATTTCTAAGCTGGAAACTTCTTTAAATTCTAATATTTTGTTCATTTTAAATAAAATCTGTAAAATGGCACATATATTTGAATGAATGCCATTTATAACAAAATACTGTTTTGGTCTAACAGATTAGAGACAATTTTAATAACTAAAAATATCCCGCATTGATGAGGCTGAAAGGACACAGAATTCTATAGGCTGGAATGTATATTGACATAAAATTCTGATTTAATAATTTGATAGTATTTATTTTAAAAATATTAGTATTTATGCAAATATCTGAGTATGTCTTACCTATAAATTCCATTTCTAGGTACCTATGCTATAGAAAAAAATAGTCTTGACTACTTGATGATATGTGTACAAGGTCATTTGACATGATATTATTTGTTTTAAGATGAAAATAATTTAAATTTCCATAAATAAGGAATAACAAAATGAAGTATATTGTAGCCATAGAATGCCAAATCCATCATGGGCCAGTCATTAAAAGAATAAAATTCAGCCAGTTGCAGTGGCACACACCTGTAATCCCAGCACTTTGGGACACTGAGGCAGAAGGATCATGATTTCAAAGCCAGCCTTAGCAAAAGTGAGGCCCTAAGCAACTCAGTGATACCCTGTCTCTAAACAAAATACAAAAATAGGGCTGTGGATGTGACTCAGTGGTCGAGTGCCCCAGTACCCCTCCAAAAAATAACAATAATAAAATTCATCTATGAAGATGATGAGATGCTTTATTAGGTGAAAAATACCATTAACAGAATTATATGATCACATTACTGCGTGTGTATCTATCCATAGAGAGGAAGATACACACACACACTATACACACACACACACACACACACACACACACACACACATACATATACAGTCATCCTTTGGCATTCATGTCAGATTGATTCTAGAACCTCCACACTCTGCCCCATAAAATATCAAAATCTGAAGATACTCAAGTCTTTTAAATAAAATGGCCTAGTGTTTGCATATAACCTATGTACATCCTTCTGTATACTTTGAATCATCTCATAGCATGTAAACAGTTGTTATACTGTATTGTTTAAGAAATGAGACGGAAAAAAGTTTGTGCACGTTCATACACAGAAGTTGAAGCTGCAGGTATGGAGAGCTGACAATGCTTGCATATGTGTGACTACTTATGTACTCACATAGAAAAATGAATGTCTTTATTGTCACAAGTTTTGTGATTTGAGAATATAGTTCATTTACTAATTCATCTTCCAGAATAAGTAGTACATGGCATGGGGGAAAAGTGAGATTTTAAAACAATTAAGATAAAACTATAGCAACTACTAGACTACTTACAAGATCCTAAGTAATTAATTTACAGAACTTGCTCACAATAAGAAACTGTGTACTTGTGAATACTTTTAAAATAAAATTTCCTTAAAGAATGTAATTTCCTAAAGGGCAGAGGGCCTATTTGTCTCTGCTGGCACTAATGAGAAACTTCATAATTCAGGAACAAGGATTTGAAAGGAGTCAGGGAATCAATTAAAAATGTTATTTCACTCTTCTTTAGAATGCCTTTGGTTTCATTAGTATTTGTATCATGATCAAAAGGGTTTTATAAGGAGAGGATTATAATGTACTTAGCTATTAATAATAAGAAAGTAAAGAAAGGTTTTCTAGGAGGAACTGTCTTCCCTGTTGTCCGGAAGCAGGTGGATAATTTTTATCTGAAGTTACTCTCCTCCATGGTGAGTTTTTTTTTTTTTTTTTTTTTTTTTACATACATTGCCCTTAGGCTCTCCAAATGCAAATTAAATGCTCTATACAGATAGTAAAAACATAATAGTGTCAGACTCTCTGCAGGTAAGTCTCTGGCCTCCTCCTCTGCTTTCCTTTTCCAGCAAACTTCTCTAAAAAGTAGCTGGTTGTTCCTGTCTTCATTTCCTTACCCTCATTTATTCAGCCCATGCAATTTGATCTCCACTGTCCAATTCTTCACTTTGAGGGATCAGACCAGAGCCTGGGGCGGGAGATGGCGTGGGTCTGTCTTTGAAAAACACAATTTGCCACAGCTATCCCCTTAAGACTACTGCACTTGAGGCATGGCCTGGGGAGCATTGATGGCAAAGACCTTCAACTTGGAAAACTCTTCTTTGGGATCAATAACATCCTCGTTCACTGAAGGTCAGAATATAGGTAGATTTTATTGGGAAAACTAAATAGGCAACTTCAATTTTAAGTTTGTTTTATTTGAAAGTTATTTTACATCTCTGTATGAACAACAACTGTAAAATTTTCAGAATCCCCTGGCAGTAAATGTATGACTTTATGGCCACACATAACCAAATGAATAACACCAGATAGTACTGCAAATTATTTCATCCAAGGGATATTACACTTATGAGTATCAAACAAACAAAAACTTAATCCAAGTGATTTATGATCACTTAGAGTAAAAATTGTTAATTTAAAGACCTTTATAAAGGTGACTACCCCATGAAGCTTAGTTACTTGAGACACTAGTCCAACTGTACCTGGCTTTGCGAACATGCAGCTGAGGGTAATGGTTGTGCCTAAGGCATATTTGCACTGCGAAGTCCTCATCATACGTCAAATTTGGGATAGTCCCCACTTGGTGAAACACAGTTATGAGAGTTGAGCCTAAGTCACAGAAAGAAAGAAATGTGTCTTCATTTCAGCATTTCAGAACAAAACGCAGTTTCCATCCTAACAGAAGAATGGATTAAAAAAATGTGGTATATATACATAATGGACTATTACTCAGCCTTAAAAAAGAATGAAATTATGGCATTTGACAGTAAATAGATGGAGCTGGAGACT